GTGAGCTTGGCCTCCTCTGGCCACTTGACTGGGCAGGGCTGCTGGTCACAACAGTCGAGAGAGGGCTCCGAGCAGAGCTTTCTCCCTCCGATTCCGGCGCTGCTTCCTAGAGCTTACTCCAGACTCTAAGTGGAGAACGGAGGAGGAATCTGCGGCTTCTGCGGTCTTCCACGCAACCCTGGCTGAGCGGCTGCAGAATGGAGCCAGCAGAGGCGGGGCTGGCAGGGCCCTGTGGCCCGCGGCTCACTGCCGGCCTGCCTCCCGCACTCCGCACGCTGGCCCGACGGGAAAAGGCTGAGGCAAGGCACGTGCGTGCTCCAAGCTGCTCGGCAGCATCCTTCACCACTGCCCACCCTGCAGCCCTCGCCCTCCCAGCCAGCAGCTGTTAGAGACCCAGGCGGCGCTCCGTGCTGGGCCCCTGCACACCTTGACAGGGCGTGCTTCCACGGGTGCATGACAGATGTGACAAATATTGCTTGAAGCTATCAGACGAAGCACTAGCAAGCAAATCACAGTGCACGAGAAGGTGTGGAAAAATAAAGATGGACGTGGAAACAGATGAACAAGAAACCAGGGGGAAAAAGAAAAATCAGCAAATCAGCAAAACCAAGATGGTTTTTGAAAGGATCAATGAGATGGACAACCCTTTAGTTACTAAGAAGAGAGGAGATGCGAACTCCCAAAATTAGAATCGAAAGAGGGAACACAACTACCAACTTATAAAATGGAAAGGTTTATAAAGGGATCCTATGAACAACTGAATGCTAGGAAATTAGATAACAGGATAAATTAACAAATTCCTAGAAAGACTTAAACTACTCAAACTGAATCAAGAAGAAACAGAACATTCTGAATAGACCTATAACAAGTAAAGAGACGGAATCAGTAATCAAAAATCAACCCGCTAAGAAAAACCCAGGCCTACACTGATAAATTCTATCAAATGCTTAAAGAATAATTGACATCAAATTTTCAGAAACTCTTCCAAAACACGTAACAGCACACTTCTCAACTCACCTAAAAGGCCAGCATTATCCTGATACAAAAACCAGACAAACACATGACAAGAAAACTAAAGATCTCCCTCATGAATATGGACACGTAAGTCCTCGACAGAACACTAGCAAACCCAATCCAACAACACACACAAAGAGCTGTACACCCTGACCGGGTAGGATTTATCCCAGAAATGAAAGGTGGTCCAACATACAAAGTCAATCAATGTCGTAAATCATATTAATAAAGGAGAAAACTCACATGATCATCTCAACAGATGTCGAAAAAGCACTCGACAAAATCCAACACTCTTTGATAAAAAAAAGTCAGTAAACTAGGAAGAGGAAGGAGCTTCTTAGACTTGAAAAAGGGCACCTACCAAAGCTCGCGGCTGACGGCAAACCTACTGGGGAGAGACGGGACGCCTTCTCCCGCGGTCAGGGACGAGATGAGGATGTCCACTCCCACTACTTGGAGGTTCCAGCCCCGGCAATTGGGCAAGACGAAAAAATAAAAGACATCCAGATAGGAAACAACCTCATATATAGGAAGCCCTAAAGAATCAACAGGAAAGTTATTAGAACTAACAAGTTTAGCGAGATTTCCAGATATAAGATCAACATGCAAAAAAAGAAAAAGATCAATATACAAACTTATACTAGCAATGAACAACCTGAAAATGGAATTACGGAAACAATTCCATTCATGAAGCATCCAAAAGAATAAAAAATTTAGGAATAAATTTAACGAAAGTAGTATAAAATGTATACTCTGAAAACTACGAAACTGCTGAAAAAGGTTAAAATATATCTACATAAATGCAAAGATATCCCATGTTCATGGATGGGAAGATTTAATACTGTTAAGACGGCAATACTCGCCTAGTTGATCTACAGAGTGAACACAATTCCTATCGAAACAGAGTCAACACAATTCCTATCAAAACAGAGTCAACACAATTCCTATCAAAACCCAGATGACGTTTTTTGCAGAAATTAAAAAATGGATCTTAAAATTCATACGGATATATGAAGGACACAGCATAACCAAAACAATCTTGAAAAAGTCACTCTCTGATTTCAAAATTTACGACAAAACCGTATAATTAGAACAGTATGATATAATGACAGACATACTAATCACTGAAATAGAGCTGAGTCCAGTAATAAATCCTTACGTTTATGATCAATTGATTTTGACAAGGCTGTCGAAACAATTTAATGAGGAAATAGTCTTTTCAGTAAATGGTGTTGTTTTAATTAAATAACCACAAGTAAAAGAATGAATTTGGACACCTTCCTCACACCATATACAAAAATTAATTCAAATGACTCAAACATCTAAATTTAAGAGTTAAAACTATAAAACTTCCAGGAGAAAACATAGGTATAAACTTTCCTGACCTTGGATTGGGCAATGATTCTTAGCATACCAAAAGCACTACAACTAAACAAAAACATAGATAAACTGGACTTCATAGAAATAAAAAGCTTTTGTGCAAAAGACACCATAACGAAAGTGAAAAGACGACCCGGAGAATGGGAGAAAATATTTGTAAATCATCTATCTGATAAAGATCTAGTATCCAGAACACATAAAGGAGTCTTATGGACTCAAAAATAAAAAGACAAACGACCCAACTTAAAAATGAGCAAACCATTTGCATATACAGTTCTCCAAAGAAGCCACAAAAATGACCAATAAGCACGTGAAAAGATGCTTAACATCATTAGTCACCAAGAGAGCAGATTGAAACCACCATGACATGAGGATACAATAATGTACAGCAAGTGGCTATAATTCATAATACTGCATTACGTACGTGAAAGCTGCTGAGGCAGTGATCTTAAAAGCTCCCGTCACGAGAACAAACTGCAGCTGTACATTATGATAAATGTCGCCCAGACTGACTGTGATCGTTTCAGAGCGTATGCAAGTGTCTAATCACCATCACGTTGTGCACCTGAGACTAACGTAATGGTATACATCAGTTATATCTCGATTTAAAAACACCCAGCTAAATTATGGTAAAAAGTGCCAATCTGGATCAGATAAGCTTTCCTATAGGACTGTTCTACTGTAAATCGCGACATTCGGTAACCAATACAGTATACACATTAATCTCTTCTGTTTCAATAAATTTTTTGCCCCGTAAAAAACAAAACTGGAAACAAACTCGCAGTGAGATGCTACTTTATACCTACTAGAATGACTAGAACAAAAAAACTGGGTAAGAAAGCATTTTTGGTGAGGCTGTGAAGAAACTGGAACCCTTGGTCATTGCTGGTAGAATGTAAAACGGTGCAGCTGCTGTGCACAACAGCCCGGCAGTTCCTTAAAAAGTTAAACACGTCATCACCACGTGACTCCGCACTTCCACTTAAAGTTGCACACCCAAAAGCCCTGGAAACGCGTGTCCACACAAGACCTGTACATGAATGTTCACAGCGGCCAAAACATAGAACAACCCGAATGTCCATCAGCTGATCGGTGGATAAACAAAGTGTGATCCAACCATATGATGGAACATTATTCAGTCAAAAGCAAGAATGAAGTACTGACACACGCTATACCATTACCTGTAAACTTAGCAAACGGATGCTAAGTGAAGGACGGCGGACGGGAAAGGCCACACGTTGTGATTCCGTTTATACGAAACAGGCAAATCCAGACAGAGAAAGCAGACTCGTGGCTGCCAGGGGCTGGGAGTGTGCGGGCCTAGAATTAGACAGTCGTGCCAAGTACACAACTTGGTGAATGCACTAAAGACTACTGACCTGTAGACGGTAAAAGGGTGCATTATAACTCTAAGGAAATAATACAAAGCTATCAGAAGGAAAAAAGGGAAGGTGTTGCCAAAGACACGCCAGAGGAGTCCAGTGAGGACTCCTTGTCTGCAAGCAGTGATGAAACTGACCAAGCCGGCCTGCCTGTCGCTGCCACTGTGCACCCGCCGCGCTGGACAATGCCAGTGACCAGACACGCCCCCTGCCAGGTGCTATGTGTAACCTCGCGTCTGCACAGCACCCTCGCATTCACAAAGTGTTGTTGTCACAGACAATACCTCACTCACTCCCCCTGGAGCCCCGCGAAGGAAGAAGAGCCGCGTGGAGCCTCCCTGTGGCCGTGACCGACTTCAGACCCAACTCCCGTGCCACTGTGGGGTGTCCCAGCACAGGCCTCAGGGCTGATGGGCAGGTGGTTGGTCCTCGTGCCCAGCCCCCCACCTCGCCCCTCGCCCTGTCGCCCCATCCCTGAGGGTTCATGCTGCCCAAAGCGCAGAGTCACGAACACAGGCCTTCACCCAACCCCTCGCTTTCCTCCTTGTCTCTGTCCAAGGACCAACCACTCCCGGCCCGCCGCTGCCTCTCCATGTGGCAACTTCACGACTCCTCCAACAGTCACACGATGGGCACCAGCAGGAGGTGGAGCAGAGAACTCACATTAAATCGCAGCCCCTAATGATAAATTCTAACAGAAACACACTTAGCACAGCAGCCCGGACCCTTAGGTCTTTAAGGGTAATAAACAGTGCACTATCATCAGACTCTGGCTTCTGACGGAGTGGTAGAACAGTCAAGGGCCAAAAAACCCCAAAACATTTAGAATACACTGCAAACTGAAATACGGGGATAGGGAACGGGAAACAGTTTCTTGAATAAAAACAAGGAAGGGCACTCACAAAATGTTGACACCAACAGATTATCTCTATGACAAGATTTTAACTGACTTAAAAAAATGCTCGTTTTGTAAAAGGTTAGAAACAAAATATTTTCATTTTGAGGAAGAAAACTTAGTGTCGGCTCAGATAATTTTAATAATCTGCTGAGTTCTAAACTCCACAAACATCACAATCCAAGTTTGGGAGGCCGATGACCGGGCACACGGCCCAGCCCCACCTGCTGGGGGGCCGACCTCGGCCTCCGCGGGCTCCCCGCAGCAACAGCCTCCTGACAGCGCTGTCTCACTGTGGAGCCGCTTGGAATCAGGTAACTCGTGCTCACCTGGACAGGTGGCTCGATCGTGATCCAGGCCGGAAGCATGAGACTGGGATTCAGAGGCTGGGTTCCCACGCGGAAGTACACGCCACCCCGGGAATCGCAGGCCCAGACGTGCTGGTTTCCGCATGTCAGGCTGGTCAGTTTCACAGCTCCTGCGGACAAATAAAGGAAACGCACACACTCTAATGACCGTAAAATGACTAATGTTTCGTTTAATCCACCTTTGATTTCACGCTGCAAAGGGAGAGATGATGCTGCACTGGCAGCTGAACTCTGTTGCTTGAGAACATCCGAGCCCAGGAAAGTCGCTGAGGCCTCTGGCTTCCCGGTCACCTGCCAAGTGCCACACAGCAGCCCTTCTATGCCCCGGGCAAAGCAGTCAAGATGCGGCCAGCACCGTGCCCTGAGCCACCAAGCACGGGACCACTCCCATTGTTAGCTCCAGCAGACACGTGACTATTAAGAGCAAATTCTGGATGTGGGGAGAGGGAATTTTTCTCTACAGGTGATCTTGGACTCAAGGTGAACTAACTAGGCCTCCTCGAATCTTTGCTTTTCCGTTTGTACTTCTCCTTGTTGAGTAAACTGATTTTAGGACGAAAGGAAACGGAAAGGGCCTTTAACCCGTTTCCCATTTAGGAAAAAACGTGCAGCTCACTGCCAGCGTTCACTTAATTTTACATAAACATGCTCTTTGAGGCTGAAGCAAATCTGACTGGTTTTCAATGTGAAAATAAAATGTAAAAAATGTTCTTGGAGTTATTTCTAAAAAGAATTTGTCTCCAGTCTTAACGTAACAGAAATGTTTCTGTAAATCAGGTTCATCAAATGAATCTCCGGCTAACGGTTCGAGAACAACATCACGCATAGGGATGCTACGTTTTCTAGGATTTGACATTTTCAGTGATCGAGAATTACTATATTTATAAATGGAAACACCACTGCTAAAAACGGAATGCTAGAAATAGAATGATGTCATCTGTTTCCAAAGACTATCGATATACCAGAGTGATGAGAAAATAATAAAAGTGAGATATTTCACGGCAAACTTTGGGGGTGGGGTTAAGACTGTAATCTGCAAGTTATTTTGGGGTAAATGCTGCAGCTGCTAGCTCTACCGCCAGCGAGCATTCTCAGGGCAAATGGGAAATGGGCTAAAGAGAAACTAAAGGGTCAAATATGTGGTGACAGAAAGAAATCTATCTATGGGCAGTGTACACAATGGAATACATTGACTTACTGTTGAATTGTACACTTGAAACGTACTAGATTTTGTTAACCAATGTCACCATAATAAAAACAGACAAACAAACAATAAAGAGAAACTACATCTGATTAATAGTCTGTCAAAAAGCAACAGCTGGCAGTCATGAAACAGCTGCTGCTGGCCGGGCTCCCGGCCAGGTCGTCCACACCTCATCCGACCGCCACAGGGAGGCACAGATTGCTGTCCCAGGGTCCCGGTCCACATGTGAGGCCACTGGGACTCGACACGAAGATGTCTGCCCAAGATCCCACAGCGAGAAGGAGGCTAAGCCAGGCGGGGAAGGGCGGACTGAGGTTTGAGCCAGGCCAGCCTGACTTCACGCCAGCCACCTGTGACCTCTGGGACACTACCTCCAGGGCGTGCGCGGGTCTCACAGTTCAGCGAAGATGGATGGATACGCCCAGCAACCCACGTCCTGTCACGTTATGGAACATTTTCATCACCCCAGGAAGTGCCCCGTCCCCTCTGCTCCTATCACCACGGATGCGTCCAGTCAGGTCAAGATGTCCACTCACACCGCGCAGGAACGCGCCGGCTGTGGCTGCTCTTGCTCAGGAGAACGTATGTGAGCCTCGGCCCCGCGTCCCTCTCGTTGCTGGCTGACTCAGCTGCGTGGCAGCACCACGGGTACGTCGCCCGCCTGCCTGCTGATGTGCATTCGGGCACTTCCGCTTCTGCTGCTTGGAGTGAAGCTGCTGGCATCACTCTCGCAGATGAGTTTTTGTGAACACGCGCTGCTTTTCTCGAACAATACCCAGGAGTGGAGCGGCTGGGCCCCAGGGCAGATGCATGTGAAACTCTTAAAGAAACCAGTGTCTGCAGTTTACCAGCATAGAAGTGTTAACTCGACACTACACAAAACTTCTCAGTGTTCCTTTGTGCGTTTCCCAAAGATGATGATGTCTTATACTGAAATTAACCATATTTTTTTCCTTCCTTAATCTTTTACAGACTGTCTTACTGGGGAGTTCAAACGGACTCGCTAGGGCTCTAACGTTACACATGAGAAGATCTGTACCAATCAAAATAAAGTAGCTTCAGCAGTAAATTCCAGAAATAGTTGAGAAACAAATGCCAACTGAAAAATAGCTTTATGTTGGAGTCTTCGACCTGCCCCGCAGGAAGCACGGGCAGCAGCTGCCCACGTGACTAGTTACGCGGTAACGGAGCACGGCAGGTTGGCTTCAGAGTGAGCCGTGAGCGACGGTGCTGCCATCGGCACGGAGTCCTACGGGGAGAGCACTCTTCCGGAGCAAAGGTGACAGGCTGGAGTACACGCTTTAGCCTGTAAACCCGCTTATTCTGAACTGGAGAGGCAGGTCAAAGGCGACACCTAACTGAGGACTCTTCTGCAGCTTCTGACCTCACGGAGGGCCTCCCGGGCCACCTGCATGCTGTTCCACAGGGAAGACAGGTCAGGTGGTGGGGCTGCTGCCTCCCAGACAGGCCAGGGCTCTCGCGGTCCCGTGGAGCTGAGAGGGGCCCCATCACCAGACCCGTCACTTCTGAACAGAAGCGTGAAAGAGCCGGCACAGGGCCTTTCAGCTGTCCCCTGCTGCAGTGACCAAGATGGTGAAGCCACAGAGCACTGCAGTGGGATCAGTGAGCTGTCACCCAGGGGACAATGACCCTAAAAGACGGACAGGTCACGAGCCCAGCTCGCGGGAACAGGAAAGCAGCGTCTGTCCCTGTGGCACTACCGACCTGACAGACACGCTGAGATTTTCCTGCCTCTTTCGCCCCGTTTCGCTTTTCCCTCTCATCCAAAAAGAGAAAGTTTTAATTACTGTATTCAACAGATAAGACATCTTCCCTTTGGGATTACTTTTAAACCTATATTTTAGAAAAAAAAAAGTGGCATCTATTTCCAAAATACTTTTCTGCATAAATTATCGAATATAATCCCATTCGTTAGCTAAAGGCATGGACTGATGCTACCTCCTCATCAGATGCTGTGACCAGATGAATTATAATTACAAACTGCATTACTTTGCTAAACATTCCAATGGCTGACATAATGCATATTCATGTACTGCGAAATGAAATGTTGTGGGTATCTTAAATATCTGCTAAATGATGCAAATTTTCTTCTGAAAACTAGGATTGTAATAAATCACAAATTCTACATTGTCTCTGTACCTGGGTTTAGCAGTCAGACATCTAATTTATGAATGCTCTTAATTTCACTTCAAAGCAGCAACCGACTTGGTAATCTGTACAGAGGCAGAGGAGAGGGATGCTACATCTTCAAGGAGAAAGTAAAGGTCGTGTTCATGACTTGACGCTTTGCTACAGTCACCCTTGAAATTGCAATTTCTGTTGGCGATGTGGAGGAGACCAGTGACATTCCAGACTTTACACAATGACCTGGCACAACTCAAGGTCAGCGCTGGCACAAGGTAGTCCAGACCATGCTGTCAGCACCGGGAACGCAGGCTTCCGTGTGCTGTGTTTTCAATGTCGGAACACTTGTAAGGAGGAGGCCAAACTGAAGAGAAGAAGAAGGTAAACCACACCTCAGAACAGCTTTATAAACCCAGCATCTCTGGCCTCGTGTCTTGGACGGGCTGATGGCAACTTGGAGCTGGACTAATGAAGTGGGCGTGACGACGTTGTGTACCCGCACGTGAGGCAGTTTCATCTGTCAGGAGTGAGGAATGAAACTCACAGCCAGACTTATTTAGAAATGGAGTTACACATTAACAACTTTCCCTGACCGTTTCATTTCCTGACGGGCATGGCCGTGGCCAAGCACGGGGTCCCTGCCTGCACGGCTCCCACCCCTGTGTGCAGACTGCACAGGTCAGATGGGACGACTGGTGGCGGAGAGCAGGAGCACGCTGCCAGGAGGACCGGACTGAGCTGGAAGGTGGGCAGGAGCCACGGGCTGGAGCCTGGAGGTCACAGGCAGAGCTGGTTCCAGCAGGGTGGGGCCAGGCGCAAGGCCACTCACTCCACACCCAGGGCAGCGCGATGGCGTCTGCTGAGGGACGGGGTGGGGTGGGGTGGGGCGAGGGGACCGGCTCTGCTTCTGACCCAGACAATGCCAGGGAGCACAGGCTCCAAGTTCCCCAGATGCAGCAGTGGGGTAGGCACAAACCAGGCCTTGGCCTTCACACCTCTGGGAGGCACTAGCGGCATCTCCCAAACCGGTCCGGCTGGGGGCTGTGAGCGAACGGCTCGGGCCGGCAGGCTCCCTGAACAAATGAAAGGCTTCCCGGGGCGGGCAGGAAGGGCGCCCAGTGCCAGCACTCAGGGCCATGACCAGCCATAGCCTCTTCCGGTCAGTCACCGTCAGCAATAGCCGCTGGCAGATGCTCTCCAAAGCTGGAAAGTGATCGCCCTGGTGCGGGGACTCGGTTCAAAAGACACAGTGTGAGGCCAAAAGCATAAATAATCGAAAAGACCCTGGAAAATTCCTAGCTTCGGGACAGAGCTTGCTTCTTTAGTTGAAAAGCAACCGGCTTCTTTGGTCCAGCTGTATGACATTTGGGGGCCTTGCCGGGCAAGGGTGAAGATATCCCCAATAGTACCCTGTAGGAGCCACATGGGCTGAGACCAGCTCCACGGCATGGCGAGTGGCCGTGGCCGGGCGCAGCCAGAGCTGCAGGGAGGAGGCGGACGACCAGCCCTCCGGCTCTCCCTCCTCCCGTCTCGCTTTTCTCCTGGTACACGTGGTTAAAGTCTCACACGTTAAAAAACACTTCGTACGATTCAATCACACCAAACAAACAAAAAGTTCTGGTTGCCAGTTTACCAGATTGGGAAACCGTATGGCAGAGAAGTGTCCCTAAGACCCTGAGGTGGCAGAGCAGCCACACCTAAGCAGCTGAGCAGTCAAGAATTAGCCCGCAGAATAAGCTAATACTGGGGGCTCATCCCACTGTGCTCCTCCTTGGAATATGAATGAATGATTTATGAATGCGCCATGCTGCCTGGCCTGCTCTGTGAGCGCTGGTGGGAGAGTTGGAGCACCCCTTCAGCCCGAGCCCCGTTCCGGCTGCAGAGGGGGCACCGAGCAGCGTGCCACGTTCAGACTGGCAGAGCAGCTGCACCAACAGGACGTCAGGAGGCTTAGCGGGCAACTCCCCCAGACGTGCTGCACCCGGACTCCAAACTCCACACACCTAAGGCTTCTCCATGCGAGGACGCCCATTCGCTCTGCACAGTGGCTCACCAGCCTCCCGACATCCCACGCTTCACGAGACGCCACATGGCAGTCCCCGCAGGCTGACCCAGGGCCCCGGGGCCCCCACGTGGCGGCCGTACCTAGCTGCGTGAGGTCCAGCCGTGCCCAGTGCATGCCGGCAGGGCAGCCGTGGGACAGTGTCCTGATGAAGACCCGGCCCAGGCTGTCCAGCGCCCACAGGGCGTCCTGGCAGGCGGCGTAGGCCCGCATCTCGGCGTCCGGCGGCAGCTGCACCGTGGAGGGGCGGGACTGCGCGTGCTGGGCGCTGACGCGGCACAGGTCCTTGCTGCTCTGGCACAGCCACAAGGAGCTTCCTGTGGAGAAGGGTCATGTCTGTCACTGACGGAAACATGGGCAGCCTCTGCCTGCGGGCGCCTGGCCCGACAGCTCACACCACCAGGCGACAGCAGCTCTCGGTGCCTTAAGGCAGAGTCAGGAAAACCCTGTGATCGGCCGCTTAGTGAGAACCGAGCCCGAGATACTCTGAAGGACTGAAACAGGGGCGCGTGGGGCTGTGAAGGCTACGATGCCGGCCCAGTGGCCCTGACCTGGGGCGCCCGGTGCCGGCCGGGAGGCCTTTGACTGGCGTTTGGTCACTGCTCTGCAGGGAGCAGGGACCTGGAGGCTGGCCTTGGGACAGACTGGGGTGCCGCCCCGCCCTCTGGCTGAGGGGGCCGCTGAGGGGCAGCTGCTGGGGAGGGCCCGAGAGCCTCCCCTCCCGTTCTTGCCTCTCCTACGGCCTCCCTTCCCGCCACCTCTTTCCGAGTCCTGAGGTGTAGCAGCTTCTGTTTAAACTGAAGATAACCCTCCGGAAAGCCAAAACCTCGGTCACGATGCACCTGAGAGTTATCCAAAGCGTGTGGCCAGGCATGTTTTGGAGTTAAAAATTCCTCTGCACTGACCACCTATGGCAGGCAGCCAGGTATCTAAGCAGCAGCCCCAGGGAGCAGCAGCAGCCGCACGAAGTGCGGTGAGTTCCTGCAACCAAACGCGCGGTCCCAGTCAACGGGACAAACGGCCTGTCGGCAGCCTCACGGCGGTCAGGTCACGCTCTGCTGCCACATGAGTCTGTGCCAAACTCAGGAAACGACCTACGGTTTTCCAGGCACACTGACTTCAGAACTGTGGTCGGGAGGACCTGGCGAGAAAGCGCTTTACTGCAATGACCACGTTATCCACTTCCTAGTGGGGCCGATGTTTGAATCAACCAATTGCTTCCCCTGAACCATGGACGACAGGGCGTCCTGGGTGGTGGCCTAGGCTCCTCCCCAGAGGGGAGGTCCCAGCCCACCAGGCGGCCATGCTGCCTGTCCTGACTCCAGGCCCCACGCTCTGGGAGGAGCTGTGAGTTCTGACTGGGGACTCAGGCTGGTTCGGGCTGCAGACTGCAGGGTAAGAGGCTGCCGAGCAGTGACAGAATTCACAAGGTGCCCAGAGAAGCTGCGCCATGGCCCTGTGACTGGTGCTTGGGGGTTACTGGCTGCCGGCCCTGGTGGCAACATTGTATGTCCCCTCCTTCAGAAGGACACTTCGCCTTTAGACTCACTCAGCTTCACTGCTCTGGGTCCTTCTATCCTGCACAGGCCTGCCCAGCCTCAAGGCTCTTAGCCAGAAAGGGCTATTCGCCTGTGATACCGCCACACCTGGTCTCTGACGTCCACACGGCCAACCCCCCGACCCCGACCAGGCCGCAGGCAGACCACGGGGCTCACGGGCCGCCGGCCAGCTGTGCACTGCGTTTCCCCACCAACCTTCCTCTGTGGGAGCGCTGGAAGCCAACACGAAGGCCCACTTTGTCGCAGAGGCTGTCCCTCGGGGAACCACGTTATTCCAGTAAGTGCCTAGAAAAAACAAACAGGAAGAGTTTAAAGAAAGAAGGAGGAAAAAACCGCACTTCGGAGCGTTAGTTCTAGACTACAACTGGTCTTCAGAACCTCATGGAGAATTCTAGAGTGTGCTTAAATTAGGAGGTCCAAGTCAGCACTGAGAGCCGGCCCCTTGCTTCCCTGTGGACTCAACAGGCTGAGCCACAGTCTTGCTGGGGGGTGGGAGTGGGGGAGATGCAGAGAGCAACGAGCTGGATTATTCACAAAGCAGGGGTTCATTTACGGAAACGAAGCCCCACACATGTGCATTCACAGACCTGGCCAGAGCCTCAGTTTTCAACACTGCGGTAGACAATTTTCCCTCTGGGAAAGGGACTACTCAATTCTCTCCTCCTAGGCTCTTCAGGTTTGGATGGGTTTTTCATTTGAATTTGAATTGATTAACATAAAACTGAGCTCCACTTGCTCTGCTTAGATCGTAACAGGAAACTGATCACACACCATCCAGACTCTGGGACCCAAACTGCAGGAATGACAGGTTACAGAAAGGACACAGGTACAAAGAGCAAAGAATGCCTCGGTGACGAACACTTCCTACCACTGGCAATAGGCTACCTTCTCGAGCTGAGAGCCTACGGTTTTCCCTTAGATGCTGGCTTTAAAGTGAAGCTGCCCATCGAGCAACGTGAAGATCAAAGTCATTCACCCACCGAGGAGACTTCCTTTGGCGACGTGGAACTCATTCTTGCCCGAGGAGATCCAGACGCCACTGTTGTTGACACCTAGAAGGCTTGGCTGGCACTGGAGCTGCTGGGACCAAAACGCCATGCGCAGTTTGTCTGCCACCTTTTCGACGGGCAGCTGGGCTGCCGTGGCTACCGAGTGAGTGGCGTGCATGATGGTCTGGAATAAGCTGCACTGGTCGAACACCACGTAGTCTGTGATGCTCACCTGGGGGGGAGATGGGCGGTCACAGGGCGCCCCGCCGGGTCACAGCTTGGGGAGCGCACCCCTGCAATGCTGAGGCCGCACAGAAGTCTGTGGCAGACTCAGTCCTGGCACTCGAGATTTGCAGATAATCAGGATGCAAATTAAAAAAAAAAAAAAAAGGTTTAGCAGCCAAACATAATGTTGGCTCTCGCACTACCAAGAAATCCATCCTATAGTAATTAAAGTTAAATTTTACTTTCAAATACCTACAAGATAATTCTGTCGATTAAAAGTCTCAAGATAACATTCCGAATATTATAATAAAATGGTACCTAGTTTTCTTTAGGCTACTTAAAAACAGAATTTAGTACGTATACTGTACATGTGAGTGAGTGTGTGTATGGTTACAAGTACAGAGCAGATATTTTAAAATCATTTGTCTCACTTTTCAGTAATACCTGGAATATCGAATTAGAAACACGCGTACACATATGCACATCCGTCAGAGCGAATACAACTTATTTTTACACATTCTCACCTAAGGGACCAAAGAACAACAAGGCAAGTCTGAGGTGACAATGAAACCTGAACCGAAGACACGTTGTGTCTTTCACAACCGCTGAGAGTCGTGCGCCCTCACCTGCCACAGTGGGAGACTGGGAGCTGTGGCGACCCGGGAGGGGGAAGCAGACACTCCTCTGAAAATTCGTTCTAGGCCACTCTGGCTGGTAGTTTGTTGATGCTCCCAGTTCTCAACGCCCTTCCCTGCCCGGGAACACGTGGGGAGACTCCTTTCTTCGCTGAACTACCCCTTACTCAGAGGCCTTTGAATGAGCATAGTGAGATGAACTGTAATTGTGGGTTCAGTTTCCAGGCCTATCTAGGCTCGTTCCTCAGCACATTTGTTCAGAATTAAACATCGTGGTTACCGAGATCTCCAGATGCCTGTGAGGTTAGATTTCCGAACGACACTAAACAAACGCACAGAGCCTGCGCGTCTGAGGACAGTGGCACCATTCCCTCCTCCGACGGAAGGCCCGATGCTTCCGGTGTGCCCAAAGCCAGCAAGGTCTAACTCCTCAAACAGTGAGAACAAACACTGTTGCCTCGTCCAACCCTCCACCTCTTTAAGGAAGAGACAGGGGCTACAACAGGGGGAGCAGGACCCCCAGTGCAGGGAGAGCCCTGTGCGGCTCCAAGCCAAGCACCTACTTGCCACCAGTGGTCGTCGTCCCCTTGCGGCTTCTTGGCAACGACGCCAGTTCTGAACCACAGGTGTCCGTGGACGTCCAGGGCCCACAGAGTCTGCTGGTCCCCGAGAGTGATACAGACAGGCTCCAAAGCCTGTCTTTCACTGAAAATGAGGGGGAGGACAGGGGAGTCAGCATCCACATTCAGAGCCCCCAGCAGTCTATGCCTGCCAGCATTAAGTGTCGGGCGGTGGGGCGGGGGGCAGTCTGGCCCAGGAGAAGAGACACTACCCCTATCAGTTCCAAGGAAGGAAACTTGAGTTTTGAGTTAGATTACTGTGCGATGTAAAGTGTTCGAACGTGTCGTAGCTTCTGAAAGGCTTACTGAGGACCCGGAATGACAGGCAAAGCTCTGAGAGAATGAGCTAAGAAAAGTGGACAGGCACGCCGGGGCCCAAGGCCCCCTCCCTCACCAATTAAGCGACTGGACCGCACCGCCGTGAGCCAGGCTGTGCCAGGAGCTGCAGCCGGGCAGCTGCGGCCCTCTCTTCGGGCAATGTTCTTCCCCCTCCCGCCCATCGAGTGCCGTCTCCACCAGCTCTGAGGCCCAGCTGCAGGCCCACTCTGCATGGCTTCTGCAGGTAAAGCCGAGCACCCGGTGCCACACTCCTGGGTTTCGAACCAGCTGCACCCCCTGGACTGGCCAGTTTTCACAGCGTCCCCAGACTGGGCGCTCCGGGAGGGCTCCAGCACTTCTGTGCACCTGGCCCAGCACAGCTCTGGCTCACGACAGGTACCTGCTCAAGTTTACTGGGTTGCTAAATTCAAACCAAGAATATCCTAATCTAATTTTTCTAAGAACTATTAATAATTTCACATTAGCAAAATGACGGTAATTCTGTAATTAAAATTTTACGTAGTATAATGTGACCAAGTAAATTACAATTAAGAGATCAATTTCAATTGACTAGGATGATAATTAAAAAAAACATTTGGCCCTGAACCATCTGAGATTCTCAACAGAAACTACCCGGTACTGGCAGTTCTGAATAGTGACGGTCAGGAGAGACTTGTGACCGCATGATGCTCAAGGTCACACAAGTGGCAGCAGCATTTAGGAAGCTGAATGTTGACCTGGCGTCCAGTCTGCCGGTCAGAGACAGGCACAGCGTGTCTCCAAGGTCAGGCTGCTTGAACTGGCTCTGACAACTGCAGAGAACACTATCACCATGGAAACCTTCGGGGAGCCAGCTCTGCCCAGGAAAGGGGAGGACAGCTGACGAGAAACGGAGGTGGGACAAACGAGATGCTGCAGATGTCTCTGCTCGTCCCCGCTGATACCTGACGATGTCACATTTCCACTGCTCCCCTTCAGGACAGAAGCTGCTCACGCCTTCCCGGTACAGAAGGGCTCTCTGTTCCGTCAGCGCCCACACCACACTGTTTCGGGCTGTGACCTGGGACAGCGGGTACGGACAGTCGACCTTTATGGCTCTGGCACAGGGGCGATCCACACTGAGACCTGCCAGGGAGACAGACAGGAAGCCCCCAAAAACACGCAATCAGGATTTCACACCTCATTTTTATTGTTTACTTATTATTATTTTTTTTTTGGTATTTTTCTATGTTCTTTCATAAATGCCTTTTTAAAAAAAAATACCCAACATACGGTAGTTAAATTGTGCTTAAATATAATATCTAACTAAAGCATTTCAGATGTTTTTTGAAAACCAAAGGAATAGCAATTCACGGTTCTCTGGTGTCCTAAGACGTCTTGGAAGGACGTGAAGCCCAGAGCAGGAGGGCAGGCAGACCCCGAGCAAGAGGGCCCTGGCCGGGGGCAGTCAGTGCAGCGACGCCTTTCCGCACCGGCCGGCTGTGCCCCTTGGAGTCCAGGGCGAGCACGGGGGCCGAGGCTGCTGCCGGGCCAGCACGCACCTGGGCCTCCAGCCAGCCACTCAAAGCAGCTCCGACCAGGCGGTGCCCTCTGCTGCTTCTCCCCAGTGTATGTGCGTGGGGGGGGATTCCACTGCTAAAATGCAAATTTCAGATCTCCTAGATGAACGGCCAGTCTGTCACATCAAAGCTGTGGCAGGGCCAGTGCTCAGTGTCCCTGACTCCCCTGCCTCCTTGCAGCCTCTGCATAATGACCTCAAAAGCCACTGCTAGAGGAGATGGCAGAACATCTGTCATCTAAGAACCCATGTTCCGTGGCCTCGGCCTGCAGCCCTGTGGTCTTCGTACCCGTGTCTCCCTGACTGGGCGCACGGGCTCCTGTGCCAGTGCAGGCCCCGGGCGGGCTTCCTTGCACCAACCAGGTGGGAAGCACCTGAGGACTTCTTAAAGGACAGACCCTCGGGCCAGCTCGAGACCATGATCCAGGAGGTGCGGCTGGGACTGGGCCCGTGTGACACCACAAGGTCACCTGCTCCTTACCCCCAGGCCAGAAGCACCCCGTCCCCGGCAGCTGGATGCGCGCATGTCTTTCCAGAGCTATTTTCACTCGAAGGGACACACGGGGACTAGGCTGGGGAGTCAGGGCCGGCCTGTGGCCCAGAAGCAGCAGGCTGTCCATCAGGGCTCCGTGGGGCAGGGCGCGCCATCGCCCCCACACCCAAGAGCGAGCCAGATGTGTGAGGGCTTTCAATGTGGCTGACAGTTCACAATGGAGATTAGAGCATTCTCTCAGCAACATTAAATGGTTACAAGACTGATCTCCACACAAATCCAATATGGCCTCTTGACAGCCCAAAATGCGCTCCTGCTCCCTAACCCTTCCCACGCTGATAACTGATCACACTGCTGTGGGAAACGCACATCCCATCTTGTTGACAACACGCAGACACTGCCTCTCATTAGATTATTTTTAATAAACAAGTCCCACTATGTCTCTTCCAACAGCTAAAGGTCCCATCAGGGCAGCTTCTTAAAACAAGCTGAACTGCTATTTAGAGCAGGTTATTTCTCGTAGTTGTCTCCTGATCCAGGTGTAAGCAGAGAGAAGCAGGGCTTTGATCGGGCTGAAAACCCAGCCATAAGCTACAGAGAAGTGGCTCCACGTCACTTCTGCTATTCCTTCCTCTTCAGACCCGGCACTGCGGGTTAAGTGACACACAGTGGCCAGCCATAAGGAGAGTAAGTTGTTGCTGTACTGTACTAAATAATCCTATTGAGTCTTGCCCTAAAGTTGTCCTGGGTTGAATCTGAGTCAGTAGCAGGAA